TTTATGTCTCTAATAAATTTCGCATCAAATGAAAATATAAATCATTTTCATATTTTTAAGATAAACAATGAAATATATGATTAAAAATTATCAATACATTATATTCACGCATTAAAAGAATATATGTTTCATAATTACAATTATTTTTAACATTAAAATTTATATGGATTAATAGTTTTTATATATAACTTTCAAATATTTAATGTATTTTTTAACAATAATAATTGTAAATTGTTATAATAACATATTTTTGTGATATTCATTGTATGCTCATTGTTTAATTCCAATAATGATCAATGATTGATCAATAACAAAATTTTAAGTGATTCGAACAAATATGGACAATATAATAATATTGATGTATAATAGTATATGAGATACAAAACTCTAAAATTATTTTTAATTTACTGAACTTTCTGTGTCATTGATAGATGACATTGGCGCCACAATGTTGGTAAAAACATATAACGTGAATCGAAGATACGTATTTTTGCTCGTTAAGATCATAATTACAATTTACATAAACGAAATTTTGAGATAGATTATACGATTAATAGAATAGATTATACGATTCTTATCAACATCATCAACGACATATTGATGAAAATTGATATGATATATATATATGATATTATTTATATATGATGATATTTATATATGATGTTAAAATCGAAAATAATATTTAAATTTAATTACTTTTAATTAACAATTCATTAATATAAACTCAAAAAAAAAAATAGTAATATATCACTAACCTTCAAGCGATTTTTCTCTTATTTATCACAGAAATTAAATAAATATAAATTTTAAATAAATTCAAAATTTAAATTTATATGAATCAAATATTTATATTTAAAACACTATATTAATAACCTTTAAATTTCAAATGAAGAAATTTATTATGAATAAATAAAGATTTAAAATAAAGTAACAAATATCATTCTGTTTTTTCACAGTCACTTGTGTATGTGAGAATAATCGCGAGGATTTAGTTTATAATTATTATTCATTATCATATTTATATTATTCATTGTATTTCATTTAGTTTACTTTATTGTATATTTTTGCATATTATATATGTTCTCTATATTTCCTCTCTGCATATTCAATTTTTTACAAATAATCTAATAATCATAATTAACAAGAGATAAAAAACTAGATTATTAAAAAAAATAAATGGCGGAACTAAAAATTAAATAAATATATATTTACAATATAAATTTAAATAATCCATGACGCGACAAGCGGTTTCGCATTCTCGTCATAAATACCATGTTTTGTTAACCTATCAACCAAAATGAAATTTCGATTAATCAAAATATATCTGTGATCTAACTCTCATCCGACGGATAGTGTCTACCGGAATCATACAAGTTATGACGGTATCATCGGCCCTAAATTCGAGATACATTGCTAATTATCGTAACAACGATGTCGACGCATCGCAGAACATGTATATATCTGAATCACAAATTCAAAAGATCTGTTAACGCGAACGCGCTATATTTAGCCTTCACTGTCTTTCTAATCGGCCACGCGTCTGTACACTGGGCGACTGTGACCGTTTCGCTCTGCTGCTGTCCGCAATGCAATTGGACTGTGGAATTTAGTGCAATCTGCGTTCCGTTATATATACATGTGTGTGTAATATAATATTAATATTATTAAATCCGTCAAAATGACGATTTTCAGACTTTTCGCTTTATCAACAATATAATTGAATATTATTTTAAATATAAAAGTTATATATTCCTATTATTATATTCAACATATAACTATATACATCAAAACCGATAAAAATAATAGATAATAATAATTTTATTGATTACAATATATAGCCTATATTACATATCCAGAAATGTTTTTGTTACTTTTTAATTAAAAAATTAAAAAAATATTGATTTTGATTTATGAAGAATATGTTTTTTTTAGCTTTATTCTTTCATTAGAACTTCAAACACAACTTTCTTTCGATCATAACATTATAGCGATATCAAATTTATTTTTTAAAAATAAATATTGGATTGTTTATTGGATTAAATTTAATTAGGTTATAATTTTTATTTTGAATTAAATAGAGCATATTCACTGATTTTTTCAAATATTTCGTCAAATTAATGGATATGGTAGTTCCAATATTAACGAATGCGAATGGTTTAATCGTTTGAAACCAACGAACGCGCGATTCTTGCCTAGCTCTTCCTGCTTTACTTGTAAAAGCATCGTTTTTCCAATGTAACACGCGCAGGTCGTTGCACCAGACATTGCGTAATGTTCATGGACGATTCACCACGACTAATTTCGAGCAATCACACTATCTATCCATAATTCGTACGGATCCGGTGCGCGGAATCGTTACGATTTATCAATCTACGCGTCTGTCCCTCACTACTCGAATCTGTTTGAAAATGATGATGGCAATTATAAAATTAAATATGCAAGACTTGAAACATGTGACATATTATTCTTTTCTTTTTCAAATTTAATAAATAATGATTCTCAATTGTGATTTTGAATTTAAGAGTATTTTTAAATCGGAAGCTAAACTAATATAATCATCAAAATTTAAAATTTAATTCCAACTCCAATTTAACTTTAGTCATTCTATGAATTGGTTTCAGTTACTTTATGGTTATGTTATACAATCACACTAAACGTTTATTATTTCGGAAGTATTTTTCTAACCGGAAGTTTTTTACACTCAAAATTAATATTTTTATATTCTTATCAAATATTATCGATGAAAAATTTTTGATTGTTTATAAAATTCAATTGAGAACATGATTCACGTTGAACAGTTCGAATATTTTGAAGTGATGAAAAGAAACGGACCTCCAGTTTATCATTGATTCGAGTGAAAAATTCTCTCTTTCACCAATAGTTCATTCGCACTACAAATGAACCAGGAGTCTTTATATAACGCGTGAACCGGCTTTTCCATAAATGCAACGCCCAACGAGTTTTACACCGTGATAGTTTTCCGTTGAACTATTTATTTGTGCACTATAAACTTGAAAGATAAACCATAATCCATAAAAAAATATGGCTTATTATTTTGTATTACACATTCATATGTGATATTCCTTTTATGAACTTTCATATTTTTTTGCCGCGCACAAAAATTAAATGACTAATTAAAAAATGAATATAGAGAATGTATAAATCAATGTGATATATAATTAAAATGAAAAATTTAATTAAACGTTAGATAAAAACATGTTCAAGTCCTAATATAAAAATACAAATAGATAATAGTTAAATTATCTATTGGAAGAATATATTTATGGAAGTGGCATCCTTCACTTTCAGGATCAAAAGCGTAGAGCAAAAAGCAGTATTGTTTCGGAGAGACAACACGCGGTGATATAGAGGGTGTCCAATAATCGTAATTTATCGAAAAAGAGATGTTCTAAAAAAAAAAGTTTTTCTACTTTTTGAAGATGAACTTTAAATATTATGTGATTATAATATAAATTATATTAGATATGTTTACAATATAATTGTAATAATTCATTTTATAAAATAATACAAAGAAATAATTTTGAATAATAAATAATTTATAAAAATTATTCAAAATATTATTAGAAATAATAAATATTTTATTTGTCACAATAGTTTATTTGATTTAATTTTATATATCATACTTTATCTTTTTAAATTTTTTAAAAATATTTTACTATTCGATAAATATTATATTTTTCATATAAACAATTATTGTAATTTGATAATATAATCTTATAAATAGAAATCCATAGATATCAAATTTATGAAAATATATCGATACTCTATAATCTATTTTTTTTAACATTTCCAGTAAAATATCTTCACTTGATAAATATAATTTTTTTATAAAAAAGAAATATGATACGATGGAAGATAAAGATAATTTCAAAGTTATTTTATACTTATTGTTCATCATATCTAATTCACTTATATTATTCACGAAATTTAAATTTTTACATTATAATATTAATATAAATTACAATCAATCGGAGATATTTTCATATTTAATATCATTTTTCTTTGAAATTATTCAGAAAACCTTGTATACTAAAAAAATTGTATTCTATAATTTCTAAACATATTTTTGTAAAAAAATCATCCGATTGTCGATTATATTATAATTCAACGAACACCATATATATGTGGCGCGCATCGTGTGCGTGGAAAAAGGTACGCAGATACAAGTCGACGACCAGAAGCGGTACAGTCACGAGAGAAAACCAATCGGAAGCCTAGAACTGTCTGTCTCTCTTACACACTCACACATAGTCATTCATTCTCTACGTATCTCGCTTTATATCTCTCCTTCTCTCCCTCTTTCGTTAATATCAGGAGTAGGGGGGGAAAAGAACCGATCGTTCGATTTGCCAGTACCAACTTCCTATCTTTCATGCTGTTCATCTTTACATTTCGCGTATATTACCGTAATCAAAATAACAAGAAGAGATATAATAAGTGAGATACACGCGTTAACCGACGAAAACACTGCTTCACTGCCACTGTTTCGCGACCGTTCGACGATAAGAGTCGTAGAGAGCGCACCATTATTTTTGTATCTACGTAGCACACGTTGCCCGCGCGCACCACGAAGGGCAAGGGAGAGTCATATATTCGGACTCCGTTTGCTCACGAGTCTCCGATCGACCGTTTACGAACAACACGAATCGACATTGACGCGGCGTCACACCACGCTGCAAATTGTCTCCCTCCCGGCGGCACCGTGCTTTTTTACTTCCGTACACACCTTGCGTACGATTTCGCTACACACACGATCTACCAGATAACGTTCGCGTGATTATTCACGAAAACACTCTTCACGAGGACGTCTAGCACGTAATTCTCGGAATAATTTCGAAGAAGCGAACCGACAGTAATAACACCGGCACGGCGTGTGCGCTATGGTGGCGCACCGTAGTCGCTCCTCGTTGCGAGGCGTCCCGAAGGGACGAGGATCGCATTTTAATGGGGCGCGGCCGTATGAGAAATTTCTTAATTACCTAAATGCACTCCTTAATCATGGGGGATAGGTCTGCTTTGCCTCACCGTGACGCACACAACACTCGATGCTCGGAAACGGGGGAAAGGAAGAAAAACACTACACTCTACGCGACACTGGAAAACTGCACCACCTCAGCGGAACGCGAACGAGTCTGCCTCGTTCTCTCTCACGTCCGGTCTCGCTCTATTCCGTCGATGCGCGGCGCTGTGCGCGCCGCTGCTGCGTGTTCGCCGTGCAACATTAGCGGCGCCTTGTGGCATAAATGAAAACTATTAGTAATAGCGACACGCCATTGGCTAGCCAATAATGTTCGAGCTTTACTGTTAACTTTAGACCAAGCGGTAAATTCGAACGTTCATTCGTATAATATGTTATAATACGAAGTATAATTAAATTAAATTATTATGGGTTATGATAAAAATATATAAATATTAAGGTATTTTGATAGAATATGTAATATATTGGTAAATATATAGATATAGAAGTAATGAAATTAATCTATATCTTAAATTATTATATTTTTTGTGAATATAACAAGAATAATAAACTGAAAACTTATTTAGACCATAATAACAATCGAATGTTTTTTATAAAATAAAACTTTTTTGGAAAATAAAAAAAATAAAATTGATACGTAATGTAACAATTTTATTTTTAGATTAATATGTTAAAATGTAAAGTTTTATATACATAAAAATATTAAAAATATTAAAAATATTAAAAAGGAATATATCTATTGATTTTTTAATCATTAAATAAATTGTTATAAATTGTTGTACGCTATCAAAATAATTGTTTTACAATAAAAATGTATTAAAAACAATATAAAACATTATTTAAATAATATTTTCTATAAATACATGGAAAATTCAATACAGAATTTATTAAACAATCTGTATGCCTACAAAAAATGGTTAAATATAGACTAAATATAGACTCTTATTTAAATATAACGTTTACCTTCTGAAAATGAAAAAAAAAAACAAAATTTGAACGTTCAATCCGTTTCAAGAGCTATTGCATAAAAACGTTAACCATGTTAAATCGAAAACAATGATTGATAACAATCAAATTGCCAAATGTTGTTCCCTGTTTGCGATGCTCTTTCCCCAATAATGAAAAATGAATCACCATATTTCCGTGTCGGTTTAACATAATATAACGCGTTCAAATAAACATGGAAACGTGCAAACACCCGTTTCTATTTGGAATACATTGTCAACACCTGTCGAATGATATTAAAATTGCACCTCCATAGCGTTAATTTCACCGTTTAATTCTATCGACGCGTGTTCTATCGAAAATCAAAATCTACGATAATCGGCACGAATCAACGTCCGTAATAATTGTAAATCGCATCTATGGTAATCGTTGATTGAAAATCGTTTCGTCAATTTGTATTGTATGTAATTGTACCGTGACCTAGGATAAATGACATATTTAACGAACAATCGGATAATGATTTGAAGAATTTTTGAATAATTTGAAAATATTTTTTAATTTTTGTTGCATTAAGAATTATCAAAAATTGATTATTAATTTTTCTTCTATCTTTATTGTTCTTTTATTGAAAAAATTGTTAAAAAAATAAGAAAAATATCAATTAAAATAAAAAGAAAGAAAATTATTATTATTGCATTCATGAATTGATAATAAATTGTTATTTTATTTAAATTTAATTTTAATATTGTTATAATTTTTTATAAATTATTTATTTTATTAGTTCCTGATTCATTTAGCTACTAATCATTTACTATAACAGAAATAAATAATTTATTCGCGGAATTATATTTTCGAAAAATTATTTATATCTATATATTAAAAAAGATTTATTGGAATAATTCGTATAGATAAAGATTTCATGTTAAAAACACAATAATTTAATTATTTTATGTCTTTTCTAATTTTTAAAAAATTCTAAGATAAATGAATGGATCGAAACGATGGATTTATCGATGTTCTACATAGTCTAGCATGGAATGAAAAAATCAAAATTTTAATAGTAAAAAATATTTGTTTTTTTAATCTTTCAAATTTTTCATCCAAAAGATAATTTCCGAAAAATTAACATTTTATGTATCATAAAGTTTTAATTTTTGCTTTTTTTTTTTAATTTTTTAATTCTCATTTTTATTATATTTTTTCTTCTTATCACAAAATTTATTATTATTTTTAAAATTAATATGTAAAATTATATTATATTTACAGTATAAATAAACAAATTGAAAATATTAATGAAATGATAATTCTAAATCTAATTCGAATTTCATTCACCAAAATTATTTTACATTTGCATAGAAAAAAATATAACATATTAAAAGGAAAAATATTGTTCGATAAAAATTTATAAAAAATCAACAAAAATAATAATTTTTAAGTAATTTTCGACATTTTAAAAAATTTGTTGATTCGAATATGAACAATTTACACATTACTAGACAAAAATTCTTATTCGTCATTTAAAACGAACAAAATAAAATTTTATTTTATTCCTATTATAAACATCTGTATTCTCTTTCTCGTTCATCGAAAGCGTTGCACGTAGTCGAATCGAAATTGATAATGAAATGTGAGAACACGTGGTCGTTCAAGAAGACGAATGGTCGAAGATGAATGAGAAATCTTGACCTCGTACGTCCGAACCAAACCGTGACGTCGTATTTCATGGCTTCTTGTTTTTTGTTTTGCCTTGTCAGCGAGATGGAAGTTTATAGTGGGTTTGTGGTTAACTATTTTTCGAGTTAATTGCTCGATCAATTTTAGTCTTCGAGATTGTGAATGTATTATTTCGTGACTGTTAAATGACAGTAATTGGAAATTAATAAATTATATTTATTATATTTTTTTATCAGATTTCGATTATTTTAATTATTAATTAAATAATAATAAAGTAGAATTATTTGAATCAATTGGAGAACAAATTTGTTTGAAAAACGATTTAAAATTAAATAATTTTTAAATATAGATATTTATTATGTAAAATTATATATATTTAATAATAAAAAGGCAATTGTAATTAATCGTTTTTAATATATATATTCTAGAATATAAAGATTGTGAGATAATTAAATACTAAATAACTTGAATGTATGCAATAAATATTATATACATTTATAATAAATAAATAATAAATTAATAATAATAATTTTAATAAATAAAGAGTATATATAAAATTATAAATAATTTAAATATATATTCTCAGATAATTAATGTTCTACTTTTTAAATTTTTTAATATATAAAAACAAAAATGATAATTCTATGATTTAATAAAAAATATAATAGAAATATAATAGAAAAATTAATAAAAAATATAATAGAAAAATTTATAATTAATATCTTTTAATTACGTATTTCAATTATTTTTCATAAATAATTCTTTTAAAAAAAGTTCTTTTAAAAAAAAATTTTCATTCGTTCAATAAAAGTTTGATTGTTCCTTTCATAATTTTTTTAATTCTTATATTTTCTATAATTTATAATTAATCATAGAATAACCTGACATATTATATTTATATTCTATAACAGATAGTAATATTATACATATATTTGGGTATTACACAGAACAATTAGAGGAATGTTATATTTGTTATTATATTGGATTTCGTACTGAGTGATATATATATTATGTCTTATTATTATATATTACAGCGTCAATCATCATCACGTAAATCAATCAATTAAAGAATATTTACAATTTTAACTATGAAAAAATAATTAAATTTATTCACAAAATTTCCGATTATCATATTTACACCAAATATATTTTATATTTAAATATATATATAACAATCATATCGAAGAATTCATAATGATTAATAAGAAATTTATAAATAAAATACATTTCACGAATCGTCATTTGAATATTGAAACTAACACATTCAACGCGCCATATAACACGAATAACGTAAATAACATGTTTAAATAACATTTTCGTGTCAAGTTTTTGCTTCATATATTTTCCTAATAAAACAATAACAAAACATTTTCGTGAAAAGCATGAATGAAGAATCTTGTCGAAACTAAATATATCTTCAGCGCATTATACTCGTAAAAACTCGTATTATATGCGAGTTTGAACGAATCGTGTAAACGTGATAGGCAAATCCGATGATATCGGCAAAATCGGTCAAAGGATCAATCGCGATTTCCGTCGAATCGATATTAATCTTTCTCATACGTTCCCCACGAGTAAGCACAATGTCGATGTGAAATCGACTCGTGGGTGGAATAATTCCTTGCCCCTAATTCACGATGGCCGTGTATCGCGTACATGTATCAGTAGGCCGCGTATTTTCGCGTTTCACGGATTAAGAGGGCGGGCGTCCTCTTTGGTTATAATAAAACGACGAGAGAATGGCCGTTTGTACGTCAAGCTTTACGGGATATAATGGGAAGGGCCAGTGGCGACAAATCGATAAACCGTCGAACAATAAAGCGCGGAGAGCGGTTTATCCTTGTTCCAAAGAACCCAATCGTTCTTCCGGTAAACACTTTTCCACGATTTGCCGAGTAAATTTTCTTCTCCTTCCGGTGGACGGTGTGCACGTTCGTTCGTTTCACGGGAGTCGACCGACCGACCGCCCCCTTCCCTCCCCCTTGATCGTTGGGGCAAATTGTCGGTGAACGGGTAAAATAATAAGTCCGATTGCGGAATCGAGGCTTGGTGAAATGATGTTATTCTTGTCACTGGAAGAGGAAGTTTGTGTAGGATGGGGATTTCTAGTGTTTTTATTGTAGGTGGGTTTAGAGGGATAAATGGAATTTGTCCGTTTTGATATCTTGTTGAAATGAAATACGATATGAAATGTGGCGGTAGAAGATTGTTAATTTGTATATAAAAGATTCAAGGATATTTATAATTTTGTTTTTGTATAAAGAAGTTGAAATTTTAATTGATTTAAAAGCAAGCAAGCATTTTTATTTCTTTATTTAAATTTAAAACAGGATCAATTAATATATAAATAGAATTTTGTTAGGAGAAGGTTTAAATATTATATTATATTCGATAAAAATTATTTTTATTATTATTATGTTGTTATATATATTTATTGTATTTATTACTATTTTAATCTTTTTTTAATCATTAAATTTAAAATTTTTTTAAAAACTAATAATAATAGATCGAATCTGCTTTTCTGTTTTATTCAGAACGAAAATTTCTAGGAGACAGTGATGCAATAATATCGCATCGTGGTAGAAAATTATTGACTTATTTCTCGATTTCACTTGCTTTATTGGATTGCAGGAAGCGAGAGAGAAAAATACG